AGGTAAATACATAGTTTTCAACAAACGCGATCACAGCTTTTTGTCACGCACCGCCATAACCCTAAAATTCAAAATGCGGTAGTTTCTTAACGCATAACGCAGCGCGGAAAACAGGGCGCAAAACAGTGCGCGAAAAACTAAAAAAAAACGCGGCGAGAGAAAGCGAAAGAACACGTTCTTTCGGCTTCCTCTCACCGCACTTTTCCTTTTTTTTCGCGCGCTGATTTTCGCACTGCGCCCCAACTGACTGAACGCCAGGAAGAGGTTATCAAACCAAGGACGCTATTGAGCTGGAAAGTTGTAAACAGATATAAAATTAGTACCTCTTATGCCTAATGAGGATAAAAACTTTGGTGGCCCTTCAGTTTTGGATGTAAAACGCTCTATTCAGCTATGCTGCGTTTCCGTTAAGGAATCACAGACCATGACCTTAGGGAACCAATTAAAAACTAATTGTAATAAGATAAGAAAACGGTCATTCATCGATCCCCGGTGTTTTTTTTGTCAGTGTGAACAATTTACCACCGCATTCATGGAACCTGGGTTTTCCGGGCAACAGAATCTTTTGAAAATCTTCCAGTTGGGCAAGCTGTAACATAATGCAGCTTCGATTGTTTTTATTTGCACCGAATTATCCAGCTAAATGGAAATATTCCCTTGTTTTGAGTACATAATAAAGTCTTCATCAAGTTTAAAAAAACATTCGTCAGTTTCGTAACTGTTTCTCTTTAAACAGAAATACCAGAAAATAACATCATGGCTATTTACGTGCACTGTGGGTAAAGCCAATAAACAAACAACCTGATTAGTGCTTATTATGATAATTGATTCTATTTCCTGGACGTGAACGCAATCATCCTCAATTATTTAAAGTGTTGAACTAGTACTCCAGTATAGTACAAGTAATAGATTTGGATAATCCTTACAACACTTATTATCAGGGTGGAAGAATGCCTAACTCGGCAAATGTGAAAGTTTCTACCCTGATGGAGGAAAGCGCACTTTTTTGAACAAGCAACACACCGAATTTAATTCGTGAGATTTCCATCCTACTGGTCTAAAATCGTAAGATCCGGAGCGCTCAAATTCTAATGAGATAAGAAAACGGTGTTTCTTCCAGCCCTTTTTTCCTGCGAACAGAATAATTCAAAAGATCAATTACTACCGCAGTTAATACACCTGGACCTCCCGGACAACAGAACCTTTTGAAATGAAAATCTTCCTGTTTGGCAAGCTAAAACACAATACACGAAGTGCGAGTTGTCTTCATCAAGTTTAAAAATCATTTAAAAATTTAGTGACAAGCTTTAGTGTAATCTTTTGAACAAGCAATACCCCGAATTTTAATTCGTGAGAGTTTCATGGTGCTGGTTTACATCGCAAGGTCCGGACCTTTCACGAAATCAATAAAAAGATAATGGTAACGAGATAAGAAAAATTAACGTTTTTTCTTCGATCTCGTTTCTCTTGTGAACAAAATAATTCAAATGATCAATTACTACCGCAATTATAGCACCTGGGCCTT